TTGATACAGGCCCCGGATCGATTGAGGTAAGCGTTCTAACGAGTTTCTACGATTTCAATAGAAGCATGGTTCTAGGGTTTATCAATTTTTGTTTTATATCCACTGCGCAAACCCTAGAATCGATCTCTTAGGAATAGGATTCGCTCTAGAGATCCCAGGAAACCCAACAGTGGTATCAGAGCCTGGTTTCGTACTTTGATATCGTAGAACCCGATCACGCACGTTTTAGGATTTGAATTGTTTGAATCCAAGTTTGCTTTGATTTCTATGCATGTTTGATGATTGAATCTAGTGTAGATTGCATGTTTCATGTTGCATAGAGTGCAGGAGTTCGAATTTTGGGTTCACAGGAGAATTCAGATCAGTTTCGGATCTGATCGGGGCCGAGAACACGGTAGAACGTGATCTGATCACGTTCATGAACCCTAGAGCGTCCGTTCTGGGTAAGCCAGACCGGACGGTCCGGGGTGGCGGACTGGAGCTGCGGAAAGGGAGGTTGAACCTCGAATTGCAGGTCTAGGATCTGATCGGGGCCGAGAACACGGTAGAACGTGATCTGATCACGTTCATGAACCCTAGAGCGTCCGTTCTGGGTAAGCCAGACCGGACGGTCCGGGGTGGCGGACTGGAGCTGCGGAAAGGGAGGTTGAACCTCGAATTGCAGGTCTAGACCGGACGGTCTGAGTGTCAGAACGTCCGTTCCAGATGTTGAGGCAAGACCGTCCCGTTCTGTGGCTGGACCGGTCGTTCTGCGAAGTGCGGACCGTCCGTTCTGTCTCGCAGACCGTCCGTTCCATGGCTTCGAGCGGACAGTCCGTTCTACAATCGTGGACTGTCCGTTCCGTCCCCAGCAGAACGTCCGTTCTGCTTGGTTACAGAGCGGAACGTCCGTTCTGGCTTCTGAAGTCGAGACTGAACGTTCTGCCATTCTGGAACGTCCGTTCTATCTTTAGAACGGACGGTTCGAGGTCCAGATTCAATATTTTTCGTTTTCGAAGTCCGATTATGCAATCGTTGCTTAATCTGATCAATTGTGACTCAAATAACATGATTTATTCTTATGGATGGTCCATAGTGAAAGAATGCATGTGACTTAATCAAAATATTGGATATGCTTGATTGAGTGGGAGCTTCGAGATTGTGTTTACATAATCGAATGGATGGTCTATTCGGATTATGTAATACATCTGATCAAGGAATAATTATTGATCCTTGATATATACAATCGTTGCATAGAAACCGGTTAGATCTAGGAGCTCTACAAGAAAAGCACTTGTCAAGGCCTCGATCGTACGTGTCATGGGCCATGCCAAAGCTGGGTGTGCCGTATTATCTTGGTGAGGCAAGATGAAGAAATGGTGGTTCTCATAGCTTGAAAGTAGATGCTTGATCTAAGTGTGGTTTCGAAAATCCCATATTTATGTAATGCTAAGTGTGTACCTCCCATTACTAGAGCGCCTGTCAAGGCATCGATCGTCCGTAACACGGGTCATGCCAAAGCTGAGCGTGTCGGATTATCTTTGTGAGGCAGGGTGGGAAATCGTGGTTCCCACAGCTTGAATATGGTTTACCTTAGGTTAAGTTGTCAAGTTTAACTTGAGACTTAATGGTACAGATGAGACAAGTATGTAATGATA